TGCAAAAGCCCCCGAGCAAGAAGTAGTGTGGCCATGATTTGTTGCAAGGAAAAGCCCTGCTGCTCAAAAAGATATTCTGTTTCTGTGCCATCAGCTTCCCCGCCACCAGTCCCACCGTTGAAATTCAGCCCTATGCGAGATACTGCGTAAGACTGGAAGCTTTGGTTCCGCTTCAGCAAGCGTTCCACCTCAAAGCCCCAACGTGACTTGCCAGCGCCACTCATGGTGGCATACTCCAGCAGCGGGCTGTCTGCTTTGGTCAAAGAGCCACTGCGACTTCGATCCCCCAACATCTTGGAGACCCTATTCAAAAACCCCTGGGACTCCAAACGCCGAGCCTGAAACTCGCCATTGTTTGGCTCGCCATGAACACTGGCAGGCTGTTTCTCTTTCAGGCAGGCTCGAAGGCGTAGCAAGCCTTCCACGGTGTGCTCTGAGTTCGCCATGATGGCCAGTAGGTCCTGCAAAACGGATGTGTGCCTGGAAATGGAGAGGTGTTGAACAGCGAATGGCGAAGCCACTGCCAAAGGCAAGCAAAAGGCAAGAAAGCAGCGCTACGGAACACAACCAAACAATTCTGGGACGCAAAGCAGGTGGTGCACTGTTGGGCTCAACCATCGATTCATAGGCCTCCACGCTGATTCGTGTCACGTCTGCCAAACATGCAGCAAGCTGAAGTCTATGAAATCAGGAACACTGCGATCTGCAAATGCAATTTCGGGATTTCATGGTTCTGTGGATGTGATCAGGGCAGCCCCACTGAAAGCATGCCGGGCGGTCGCTCAAGAACCACACACAACGAGCAGTAGGTCGCCAACTTCTTCAACCGATTTTGCTAGCTTGATACCTCCCCCTTTACCACGGCCACCAGCATCAACTTGAGCCTTAACAACCCACAATTTTGAGGGGATGTCACGGGCGGCTTCCATTGCTTCTCTGGGGTTAAGTGCAACAGATCCAGGTAAAACGGGACCGTTAAATTTGCCAAAAATGCAGCCAGCTTCCAAACAAACAGAAAGTGCTACGCTCTGCACAAACCAATCTTCGGATTTCCTGGCTTTGTGGATGTGATTACGGCAACCCCACTGAAAGCATTTGCGGGCCGCCAGCAACGTCACCAACGTTTGCTTTGACCCTGGATTTCGGGTGCGGCCAACCGCATGCCTCGCGATGAGACATTTCAATTCAAAGCCAAGGGGGACCTTGCGATGTGCATCAAAATCGAGGGAAGCAGAAAGCTCGCACCAGCAACCTTGCGCTGTCGCAAAGCTGTTCTCTCACGTCGCACTTGGGGGCGAGGGATCGTTGCAAGCGGCTTGTGCCCTGCAAATAAGCGGCAAGAAAACGCAAGCGCGACTGGAACAGCAGGCTCTTCAATATTTGCGGGTTCCCCCTCGACTGTTTGATAGTTTTGCGCTCCACTAACCACTCACACCAAATCAGGCAGATATGAACAGGTACGGAGAAAATTGAACAACAGAAAAGGATGGAATGGCAGCAAAACGGGCAAAAAATCGAGCAAGAACACTGCGAGTGGATGCAAAGCCGGGAATGGTTGAGCTCACTGCATCAAAGAGAACATTCATAGAATGCACTTGTGCCTGCAGCAGCAAGGGCCCCAATGGGTGCAAAGACATCAGAGTTTGCCCTCCCTCTCCCCGGCAGACGGGCAGGTCTTGCTCTTTCAAAAGCAGGCTGAGGGCAAGCGCAAAATCACTCACAACGATCAACGGCACGTCTCAATCAATGTCGACCGGCAGGAATGGCCGACCTCCAACAAGGAAAGGCAACCATCCGTTCATGGGGGCTCCATACCGAGCCTGCCAACGACACGAACCGCCGCAATCTGCACAAATGTAACCTTGGGATTTCCTGGTTCTCTGGATGCGATCAGGGCAGCCCCACTGAAAGCATTTGCGGGCCGCGGGGGGAATTTAAAAACCACACGCAACGACCAACGTCTCAGAACGAAGTCAAGAGCAAACGATTTTCCAGCCGTGCCTCGGGCTCCTGCAATAGCCGGATCTTCTTGGTCAGCAGCACTGCCGGGCCACGGGGGATGCCATCCTGCATCATCTGCTCCAGCGTGAGCTCCAGCAGGGACTTGCCCGTGACGCCCTGCTGCTGCAGTGCGGTCACCGTTTGCTGGATGAGCTCGTGGTCTGCTTCCAGCCCACCATCGATCAGCACAGCCTCTGCCCAACTGGACACCTGGGCCTTCTTGAAGCCCTCCACCTCCTCGCGGCTCTTGGCGAGCCAGTCCTGCCAGCACTCACCAACAACCAAGCCTGGCGCATGCGAGCCCCCGGCCTCCGCACCACTGTCCTGGCACGATTGCAACCGGCCAAATTTACAACTGCTGATTGGAGCGTCCTGCTGCGGGCTGGCGCGCGAAGCAACTCCGCCACGCCCAGGGTGCCAGCTTGTCACCTCAAGAGCTGAAATTTAGGCAAAAAAATCACATCAACGCCGAGATCTGGACCTGTGCCCTGTGGGAATCCTGGCGGACCAATTGCACCGTTAAGGCATGTCGCACTGCTCCTAGCTTGAACCCAAACATGAAACCTCGAAAGAACAAAGCTCGTCCGAAGCGGCCGCAGTTCTTTTCACCGGGATTGCTGAAAGTTGCACTGCTTCCAGGGCACTAGTGCGCCTGGAGCAGGAGGCACATTGACCCCCCGAAATGTGAAAAGGCAAGACAATGCGTGTCCTTGCGGGTAAATGCAGTGCTTGGGGGGGCGCGGCACGCGTGCCCACGCCCCAAGGTCCGGAGACCGACAGTCCGGAGACTTGAGGTCCGATTTTGGTCCGGAGACCTAGTCCGGAGACCACGGTGCCCGGAGGCGACCCACGAAAGTGCAGAGACACTGCCGTCTATCCTGGCAAAGCCTGGCATAGGGCAATGCAGGGTGGGTGGGTGGGTTTCGAAATGAAACCGCAGGTTTGGGTCAAGGCTAGGAGCAAAACGGCCAACGCATAGTTCGATTCACCACATGCCCTAAACACAAGGGAAAAGAAACCCTAAGCGTTAAGGCATGTCGCACTGCTCCTAGCTTGAACCCAAACATGAAACCTCAAAAGAACAAAGCTCGTCCGAAGCGGCCGCAGTTCTTTTCACCGGGATTGCTGAAAGTTGCACTGCTTCCAGGGCACTAGTGCGCCTGGAGCAGGAGGCACATTGACCCCCCCTTCAGTGTTTCAGTCAACCCCGGTAAAAGCGAACCAGCTGGGCCGAAGGCCTCATCACCCGCCCTTCAGAGTGGGGTTGTACCTGGCAGGGCAGATGTTACGGTCACCATGCACGCTGTGTTGTGAACAGCTCGGCATGCGGTGACTGCACTTTTTTCTGGTCAGGGCGGCTTGTGTAAGCGGCTGGCTGACATTGCCAGTTGTTCTGGCTGACAAGGCAACGGCAGAAAGGGTTCAGAAGGCCAAGTCGAATGCAGGCTAGTTTGGCTTTGCGACGATGGACGCCGCTGCCAAATGTTCCGGACGCCAGGGCGCATGCATCGGACACAGTTGAATGCCTCGGCCCGACATCGCCAGGCTTGCAGGGCTGAAGCGCATGCGACTTTCAGGGCGATGGCTGAATCGGGCCAACCGACCTCTGCTGAGATCGTCTGCCCAATCATTGCACCTTCCTGGAACGTGCGTGGGCTGCAGCAGCACGTTGTGAGCGTGAGCCCAGAAGGCTGTTAACTGCACAAAAAGTTGCAACGGCCACGAGGTCGTGAACAATTTGTTAAGGCTTGCTTCCGTGGCGGAATTGTCCGTGCCGGACGGCATGCTAAACGAGTAGTGCCCACCACCAATGTGGCTGTGGGTTGCTTGCAGCAGTGCTAACTGTGCAAGTGTTTCAAAGCATGCGATATACCGCTGTGCTGGCTTGACAAGGCAAGGCCACACGACTCTTATGTCTTGCATGTTCCAGGTCTCGGCGAACCACACCACTTGGGAAGATGTGATTGCCCAGCCCCCAATCCCCACCATTTCATCTTCAGCACACGCGTCGGCGGCAGCCAGAGCTTGCAGCTGGCGTGGCCGCGCCAACGGCTGGATGGGTGAGTGTCGAAAGCACGACGCCAGCCAAGTAAGGCACTGTTGACTTGACTTGGAAAGGCTGGTGTATGGGTTATTGGGGTCCGCGATGCGCACCCATGTGGGCTTGCTAGTGCCAGGCACTCGCGGAATGTCTTCAAGGCAATGCAAGGTGCGGCCTGAAATTTCCAAGATTTTGGAGCCCGCTGTGATCCACAATCCCGGCAGGCTGTGACCAGTTTTGAGGTCCCTTGACAAGGGTGCTCGAAAGGCCGACCACATTTGCGGTGGTATTGAGCGCATGGAGCCTGGTGGGCTGTTGAGGTCCGCGTAAAGCGGTGCCAGCCAGGACCTAAGGTGCAGGGCAATGCTGGTGGCCCAAATCAGCAAGCCTATGCACTGCTCGAGTGTCTTGCGAGGCACACGTCGGCTTCCCAGAAGGGATTTGATTAAGGCGTCCAGCTTGGCCAGTTTTGAGGACATGAGCTGGATGGTGTCGTGAGAGAAGTGGATCTCCCAACCGCACCAAACCAGGCTATCCTGAAATTGCACCTTTTTCCACGAAATGGGTGCTGCAACGGCACAAAAGAAGAGCACCACCAAGGCGAACATGTCTGGCGCGCTATCCCGGACGAGTGCACAGAGCAGGTCGTCCACGAAGAGAAAGGCTTTGTGCGGCTTCCAGGCTAGCAACCCATGCACTTGACGAAGCAAGAAAGCGCCGGTGCGCTGCCACCAGAAGGCCGAGAACCGGCCCCGAAAATGGCACACCCTGTAATGGTATAGCTTCCCTTGAAAGGCGAAGAGAAGAAGGCCATGTTCCTCTGGGCGGACCTGCACTTGTTTGTGTGCGGCTTTGAAGTCAATGCTGGCGCCGATTGAAGGCTTCTATCAGGCTGGACACGCGTTCGGATGTGAGCTTGGGTGGCAAATGCTCTGCCCAAGATGCGAGTTGATTGGGCTGCATGCATGGAGATCCGGAACTGGCGGCTGGTTCGGGAGGCTCCGAGCGCAGGCTGAGCCGATGACACTCGGCTAGGGCTTTCCTAAGGCGCGCGGCTGCCACACTAGATTCTGGATCTTCTATGTTGTTGGCTGTCCAGAAGTCCCTGGCAGACAGTATGAAAGGCTGCAAGTCCGCAATGTTGGGGAAGGCAAAGGCGAAGTCTGACGGGCAGTCGAAGCCTCTGGCTAAAACGAGGTCCCGCAGGCCTTCAGGGACCCTTGCTTCTGTCAAGACGTCCTGTAGCCGATCACGATCCATGTGCATCAGTAACGCGGTTTGAGCGGTAAAAAGGGAAAGCTGCGAATGTGTACAGTCAGTGCATATGGCAACACTGGACTGGCACCTGAGCACTGCTGAGTTGCCGACCTCGAAAAGGGCGCACCTAAGTGATCGACCCGTGTGCAGTTTGGTGGCGCTGTGTGAGTCAAGGCGGCGCATGAGCGTTGATTTTAGCACAGCACGGCCATACATGCCTTGCGTTTGCAGAGCTGCATGTCGGGGTGAATCTGATGCACCGGGTACGAGCAATGCTTGAGGTGCAAGCCACAGGATGTTTGTACTGAATTGTTGTGGGTGCACTGCACGGCATGCACGGATCCCCAGGGCACCAGGCGGACGCCAATGGAGTCGACGGCCAGGGCTGGCTCTTGTGTGCAAGGTGAAGGTGAGAGAGTTGGCGAGCCCGCCGGCTCCTCTGGTGGCTCTTCGTCGGACTCGGCCTCTGAGGATTCCAAGGCGGCTCTTGCCACGGCAAGGGCTTCCTCATCTGCATCCAGGGCTGTAGACAGCAGATTGTCCACTTCCCTGTGATACAGGAATCTGGTCAGGCTGGGCGGGAGGCTTTGAAGCGGTAGCTGCCCTGTGGGACCTGAAATGCCGGTTCCGGACGAAAGGCGGCGGTGTCCTTGAAGCTGTCTTCTGGCAGGCGTAGCTGTGCAGCTGCACTGAGTAAGGCGCATTTAAGGCTGTGAAGGGTGAACGAAGATGCCTCATGCTGGGTAACCCGATTTCCACGGCAACTGTATGGCCCAACGAAGGCAAACCAGTGCTTGCAAGTAGGACATCGGGCGCGAAAGGCTGGGTGAGATTCCAGGTTTGGAATGCAGGGCAAAATGAAATCTGGCACAAATGAGTCTCCCCATTCGGAGTGGGTGGCGTCAAGGGCTTGACTCAGCAGGGCCAGCCACTTCACTAGCCAGGATGTGCTGATATCCTCACCCCGGAAACCGAAAGGCAAGCATGCAAAGGGCTGTCCTTGGCAGGTTGTTTTGGTGGCCCAACATAGGCCCCTGAGTGCCTGTGCAGACAGTGAAAGAGCGGAGGGCTTGATTCTCTCGCCAAATCTTAGGCTGCAATGGGCGCACAGAAGCAGGGCACCTAGTAGCAGGCCCACAGCGGGCGTGCAAGCGGGGGACACTATGTGTTCCTCCCAGGCTGCAAGAACGGCCAGTGGCAAGGGCAAGGCCTCCCGTCGATCGTGTGGTTTGGGGTTGTAGGCGAAAGACTTGATTAAGGGGCTGCTCATTAAGTCCAACAGGCAGGATATTTGCCCAATGCGTGCAAACCAAGACAGCGCCTTGCTCATCATGACGGCACTGCATTTAAGTGCTGCGCGGTCCTCTGCCTGGGACACATGGCAGCCTGCGATGAAGTCTGACAGGTGGGCCAGGGTAAGGCTCAGCAAATCACCCACACACTGCTGTACAAAGGCGAGAAAAAAGGCGGATGGCACGGAGGTACTCGACAAGTTCCCCCTGAAAATTTTCGCAGCGACGCTTCAATGAGAATCTGAGGGTGCTGCGAGGCTTCCAGGGCTTGCGCTAGCTTGCTGCTAGCGACGCAGGATTTGAGTATCAAAACCCACTCGGCCGCACACTTGTCTTTCAGTGAGGAGGGCTCAGCTGGACGGGTTGGGCCATACGGCCTGGGCATTGTAGGCCTGGCGCCGAACACGCGGCGTGAGGGCAACACTGTGGGTGGTGGGTTGAGCAGGGATCGGATCTGATCTGTGCGTTCCTGGCTGAGGTGAGACTGCAAGGTTAAGGCCTGCAGGGCGGCTTGGGCAGGGGGCAGGAAACAGGGTCTACCCAGGACCTCAGGATGCTCTCTGGCACAGGGCACCCTGGTCTTAGATTAGCTATTGAAGGCCTAGGGCAAGGAGGAAGTGTTGCGTGGCTCCACAGTTGAAAGCGGAGATCGCTCACAGAGGCGCGCAATGGTTAAGGCCTGGACCGATTGCCGTGATCCTTGCCTGAGGGCCAGCTAAGCTCTGGGTGGGCCTTGGCAGTCGTTCCTGGCGATATGAAGGCAGAGGCAGTAGCTGGGCGTACGTCTGGAGGGCCTGACCACTGGGTTGGGCATAGGGCAGGGCCGTCTGCATCCATCTCGTCGGAAAGGCCATCGGGGGAGAATGAAAACGCTCGCCCCCAAAACTGTTTGTTGCGATAAGGCATCGA